CTCGCACTAAAGCAACCTCCATTTTCTCCCGTCGGGTGAATAAAATAGATCCACCAGTGTATAGTATCGCTTGTTTCTTGATTAGTTGGTGTCGATAAGCTGGAAGGGAAATAGATCATAGCCCAGTGAGTATAGCACTGAAAGCGGTTGAAGAGGCTCTCTAGATTTACTTGTTAACAAGTCTAGGCGAAAAGGTTAACTCTGTATCCTGAAACCTTTGCAAGCATCTCTAAGCGTAATAACCACAGCAGAAACGCCTAGCGTGATGAACCCGTGGCTCTGTATTCCACTGGGTGTATACAGGGTTTATGTACAGAAGATGTTTAGCTGTTAGGCTTTCACAAAATATGAATACTAGCATTTAGTTTATTTTGTTTTACGGCATATCAACCTAAATTGGTTATTTAATGCCGACAAAATTTTTATTGCTGTTAATTTTTTTTTCTCCAAAAATGTATTGCTAGTAATATTTTTTTCTTCAAAAATTTATTTCTGGTAATATTTTTCCTTCAAAAGTCTATATCTGGTAATATTTTTTTCTTCAAAAATCTATTTCTCGTAATATATTTTTTTAAGTATTGCTGGTAATAATTTTTCCTTCGAAAAATCATTGCTGGTAATAATAGATTTTCTCGTATTAAAAATCTATTTTTACACATTCATAGTATTTTGGCCCCAGTTTGGGGGTTAACCATTTGCCCATAGCTGTGACCCTAACAGCTGCTACCACGCCGAGTCAGGGTGGACCTGGAAACAGCAGCAATTACAAGATGGTTCCACGCTCCTCAAAACATTCTGGTCAGAGGCCTTGCTGTTGGATGTACTTTATCGTCTTACCCAAGACGCGGATGTAGTTTATCGTCATACCCAGGATGGACTAGCATTTAAAATTGCGAACTAAAAATGAAAAAAAAAAAAAAAAAAGAAAGAAAAGAAACTGTAAAAGGTCAGTGCTGGACATCCATATCGTAAACTGAAACAGTACATGTCTCTAGGGTCTTCCAAAGAATAAATAAATAAATAAAAAATTAAGAATCAGTTTTGGCGTGGATAGCCATGACTCTGTTTATTATATCGCAATAGGAGAAGTGTAGTCTGTTAGGACAGCTCACCGTTCAGCAGGTCTCAAGTGTTTTTTCATTGTCTTACTTCAGTAAGCGCAGATAGTAAATTCGTCATGCTGTGTTCAATTCTTGATCTTGATCCTGTTGGAAAAGGCATGAAACCATCTCCCTCCAGCTACGGGTTAAATAATATGACAGAATGAACACTCTTACCTTGAGTTGGTAACCAGTCGGGGAGAAGAAAAAAAAAACTGAATTCACAAGCATACTGAAGAGAGAAAGGCTCTCTCAGGCTACACTGCATAAGGAAGCGGAAGTGGATGTGGTGCCCTTATGACTCTAATGGGTTATAAAACTCGTGATGTCTTATTCAACCTATACATCAAGATGATTATGAGAGAATAAGAAGTCCGACAAGGATTCTTTATTGACGAACACAATGTTTAGAACATAATATATGCAGATGACACAGTGTTGATAGCAGACTGTTATGGAGATCTACCTACATGGGAATGAACTCTTCTAAATACCAACCTGCGATACTTCCTGGGAGACAGTCAAGACGCTGTTCTGTGACTGTTCGCAGCTCCTGCCTTGGGCAGAGAGGAACCCGGACGAGGGTGTGCAGAGTATTGTCCGGGGAGGTAGATGGACCCAAACCCATTTGTACGGGTTCTACGGGGATATTTTGGCCGTGCCTACGGGCTCGGATGACCCACGTTTAAACTCGGCCTTGTGCCACATATATCTCTCGTGGTGGGGGGCTGTTAATTACTGACAGTCGAGATGCGGGGAACATTGATTTACTGTCCTTCCTGTCGAACTCTCTGCCTTAGGTAGAGAGGAACCCGGATGAGGCTGTGCCGAAAGGCAGAGTTTCATCCGGGGACCTAGAAAGACCCAAACCCGTTTATGAGGGTTCTACGGGGACTTTTTGGCTGAGCCTTCGGGGTCGGATGACCCACGTTAAACTCGGTCTTGTGCCACATATATCTCTCGTGGGGCGGTGGTTCTAAAATTGTTATAGCGGAACACACTTATTCTATAGTTAATAGACTCTCCCACCTATAATAAGTAGGAGTAGTAAGAGTAACAAGGCAGTTGTCAGTGAGTTGGTCAGTCAATCGATGTCGGACGACGTTAGTCGGATATTAAAGTATCAGCCACCACAACTAGATTACTGCGTCATTACCTGTTATATCAAGTTCCTAACGTTTTGTACGTCGAACCTATTTTAGGACCGACTTAGTACAAATACAAGCCTCCACTGTGAAACCACTACATAACAACTTGGCGACGAGGGATTCGAACTCATACGGAGGAAGAAAAACCTTTCAACAAAAATACTGATAGTGGAGACGCAGGGGGAACATTGATTTACTGTTCTTCCATGTCTATCGAACTCTCCTCCTTGAGCAGAGAGGAACCCGGACGAGGCTGTACCGAAGGGCAGAGTTTTGTTCGGGGAGGTAGGCGGAACCGAACCCGTTTATGCGGGTTCTACGGGGATTTTTTGGCCGAGCCTACAGGCTCGGATGACCCACGGTCATGTGCCAAATATATCTCTCATAGGGAGGAATGTTTAATATTGACAGTCGAGACACAGTGTAACCTAGCAGTTTGAACGGACACTTCTATCTGCTGATTAATAACATTCTTACGTTGTATATATCTGTTATTTCAATACATTTGTCCATCCTACCTTTTCCTTTCCGTGTTCTTTCTTTCTCGTCCCTAACAGGCTACAGCACAGACACAGAAAGAAAGCTACAAAAACACCTACAACAGGTAGTTAAGGAAAGTGTGAAGAAATGACTAAACATCAACTGCAAAAAGGCAGAATGCATGATTATTAGCCAATAGATGGACGCCAAATGCAAATTATCAAACGGAGACTCCAAAATCAAATATGTACATATATTTAAATATCTGAGAAATGTTTTAACAGTGGACAGAAAATGGGTCACCGAAATCCGAAGGCGCATTAGGATTGCCAAAGATGCTTTCCAAACGCTAAGCAGAGTAATAAAACAAAAAAAAAAAACATATTTGGAAATAAAAAAAAAGAAGAATACTGACCTGTAACGTGATATCTATCCTCCTGTCTGGCAGTGAATGCTGGACAGTCTCGTCAAAGATGACGTAGAGACTTGAAGCAACAGTAAAATTTTTCTGCAGAAGGATGCTGATGATACCATCAACTCAATATATGCGCAACAATGAAGTTTCACTGAAAATGGAAACAAAAAGCAAACTTATGCTTACCGTCAAAAAGAGACAGTTGAAATTTCTCGGGCACCTAATGAGGAAAGAGTGTTTGGAAAATATGATACTCACAGGTCAGATTAGAGACACGAGAAACAGAGGAAAGCAACGCATAACGGACGGAGAGAGAATAAGCAAATTGAAGCCGAGGCAGGATTTAGGAGAAATAAGAAAAAAGGCAATTTATTAAGAGCTACAAAGGACAGGAAATTTTGGCGAGCCATGATCGCCTAAGTCTTGATGGGACACGGCACACAGAAGAAGAAGAAGAAGAAGAAGAAGAAGGAGGAGGAGGAGGACGGGAAGAATAAATAGGGGAAGAAAAAGAAGTAGTAGGAGGAGAAGAAAATGAAGAAGGGGGAATAGAAGAAGAAGAAGAAGAAGAAGAAGAAGAAGAAGAAGAAGAAGAAGAAGAAGGACGGGAAGAATAAGGAGGGGAAGAAAAAGAAGTAGGAGGAGGAGAAGAAAAAGAAGGGGGAATAGAAGAAGAAGAAGAAGAAGAAGAAGAAGAAGAAGAAGAAGAAGAAGAAGAACGAGGAGGACGGGAAGAATAAGTAGGGGAAGAAAAAGAAGTAGGAGGGGGGGAAGAAAATGAAGAAAGGGGAATAGAAGAAGAAGAAGAAGAAGAAGAAGAAGAAGAAGAAGAAGGACGGGAAGAATAAGGAGGGGAAGAAAAAGAAGTAGGAGGCGGGGAAGAAAAAGAAGGAGGAATAGAAGAAGAAGAAGAAGAAGAAGAAGAAGAAGAAGAAGAAGAAGAAGACGTCATATGTAAACCATGACTCTGAGAAGAATTTTATCATGGTACAAATTGTTCTTCCTGTGCAGTTTCTTAATTACTCATTTTTGTCCAATTTTTTTTTGTTTTGCAGTTCATCAGTGGATCTGAAGGTGACACCGCAACTCAACCCTAGACGTGCAGAGCCTGGAGTAGTAACAACCCTGCAAGTCGCTGGATGGGATCAACGCCTAAAAATAGAGAGTTTTTTTTTTTCATGCTGAGATTCGAATTTGCAGAGTCGTATTAGACAATAACAAGCCAATGCGATCGGTCGGACCTATACCCCTCTCACACCTTTTGTCAAATCTTACATCAGAAATCGATTGAATCTTTGTACTATTTCTTTGGTCAACCTTGATGTCTTCTACCACTTACAACAGCAAAGTTATTCGATGCAGATGACGTGGTCAATCTATTGGTCTTGTGCCTTCATGAGCATTGATTGATTGAGTCAAGTCGGTCCAAAAATTCAAGATCAATGATTCCTGGTATAAAGCGAATGACCATCATATAGAAATTTTTGCCATTTCTTGCTGTGCTGCCGTATATACTCCACGTTTAATCTTCACAGAAATCGTAATTGATAAAGTTAATAATAACGCATGTTGTGTCTACTTTCTCTCTTGAATGTTTGGGTATCCGTGATCTGTAGCTATAGGTCGGTGTTCGAGGGCAGGTATAAAACATCGGCAGGATATTTATTGTCAAATCAGGAGCAACATGATCTTTCTTAATCTCCACTTTATTTGGTTTTGTGTAGTAGTCTTCTAACCTTATAAATAGTAACACTTTTTGATCGGTCATTTCCGTTTTGATTAATTCCTTTGACGAGAACGTGTTTTTTTTTTTTTTTTTTTTTTTCATAAAACTGAGCTTCAATGTTGGCTTTGCCAATGTTTTTCCAGCAATCCCATGATCCTCACAGGAGCCATTTTCCAAATTCTAAAAGAAAGATTCTTCTGCAACTGTTTCAGAAAAGGCTAATTTCCCTGGCACGCGAAGGCAACAACTTACTTCAGCGCGAAATATTGCACGGCGTCAAACATCTGTAAACAGAGCATTCTCCACGGGATGAATCTTCAAATGGAAGACACGTTCTGGTTTTCGAAAAAAAAAAAAAAAAAAAGAAAGAAAGAAAGAAAGAAAGAAAAAAGGTGAATGCATTCCGATTATAATTTATTGGGCTTGTACTTACTATTTTTTTAAAACCATTATGCAGAAAATTAATGTCGATTTCATTTATATATACACTACGGTGTTGCCCGTCTTATGATGGCGTTTTAATGCTGAAAATATATTTTAGCCGTAGTGAATAATATCAGGTTATAATATTTCTGATCATCCATACTTCAGCAGTCTCATGAGACGCTAGTAAATTGAAGTATGTTTGCCTCTATTGGTAAGAGGAGCTGACTTGATATCCACTTGAGCTTTCAGATAGGTTACCAGGTAAGAAATACTCGCTGTAAATAAATGTATTTTTTCATTAACTTTAACTAATTTTTTTTTCAAAATCCAGTTAAGTAGTCATTAAATTAACTAATTTTCGTCGCATCCTATATTTCTATAACGGCTACTTTATTTTTGGAAGTATTTTAATTACGGTGATGAAATAAATACTTATGCAACTCTATGGCTGATTGTAGGTTCTCGTTTCTTCATTTTAAATCGCATGAACCCCCCCCCAAAAAAAAACAAACAAAAAGACAAAATAAAAACAAAAATCAGACTCCGACAAAGCAACAAAATAAAATAAAAGAAATACAAGTCAAAAATTAGTTATAATTAACAATGATTCATTTAAAAATTCGAAGACAGTCACAGCAAATTGTCATAGTTTTTTCATTATTCGAAAACTAGAATAATGATCCAGGATTTGAGATTTAAAAGTATTAGTACTAAAATGCACGTACATAAATGTATTTATAAATATTTGAAAGTATTGGTACTATATATATATATATATATATATATATATGTGTGTGTGTGTGTGTGTGTGTGTGTGTGTATGTCTGTGTGTGTGTGTATGTCTGTGTGTGTGTGTGTGTGTTTAGTCATTTCACGCCAAGCAAGGCGATAATACCACTAAGACGCAAAAGTGTTACAGGGAGGGAAAGAGAATTATTTAAACTGGGAATATATATATATATATATATATATATATATATATATATATATATATATATATGTGTGTATATATATATATATATATATATATTTTTTAGTTCTAAATATATATATATATATATATATATATATATATATATATATATATATATATATATATAATATACATAACATGCAAAGGTTGCCACGAACATTGCATTGGTCAAACGTGCCAGTCACTCCGAAAAATCAGATGTTAAATATATATATATATATATATATATATATATATATATATGTTTTAGTTCTAACAAATATAATATATATATATATATATATATATATATATATATATATAAATTTAATATACATAATTACATGCAAAGGTTACCAAACGGGGCAGTCACTCTGAAAAAGAATGACTGTTCATCGCCAACAAATTAAAGACCCCCACACTAGAAAAATACCCCTTAGCCAACATATAGATGAATGTGGAGGACAAAATCTGCCAAATTTTAGTGTCTTTCCGTTCTACCAGTGTGATTACAGAACTACTGAACAAAGGCGGATAAATAAGGAAGCATTTTTCATCAACAAGTTCAAACCCATACTTAATTCATTACATATATTGATTCTACCAAATTCCTCTTGCAATAAACATGATTATAGCCAGTTATTCCCCTTGATTTTCTTTTTTTCTTCATTGGTACAAAACATAAGCGTCAACACGTGGAGATAGAAACAGTTAAAAACTTTTTGTAAAGCTAAGCGAAACCGGTTAAAGTAAAAATGTTTAAAAAAAATGGAAAACAAATTATATTTCTAATGCAAAAACACTGAAAATCCCATTGTAAGTAACAAAGTTTGATTTTTTCTCTGTAAAAATACATATATTATAAATAAATATCACTATATTAAATATTAGGTGCCTTTTTTCGAATCCCCATTTTAGTCTATACAATAAGTTTTTGTACAGAATCTTTCTGACAAAAAGATTTTTTTTCGCTAGTTGATGTGCACTGCTGATAAGTCCCAAAAAGGAAGAAACGACCGTCCAATGCTTTCTGCATTTTTTTGAGGATTCTTATTCTAGACTCAATGAATTATTATGTGAAATTAATGAAGTCCCCAATCTTTGTCTCTCTCTCACTTCCATATATATATATATATATATATATATATATATATATATATATATATATGATGAAATATACTCTTAAGGTGTGCTATATTTATGGGATAAAGTGTTCAATATCAGAGATAGAGCGTGTGTAAATATAAAAGTGAACATAGAAGTCAACACTTCGACCGTCTCATGCAATATTAAGAACCATGCGCTTTCTATATTTTAGGCAAGATTTTGTTGGCTACATCCTGGTATTTTTGAGAGAGATGAAACTTTAAAATAGTCTACGTTTTCGTCATGTGTAACGGTTAAAGGGAGTGAGACCACACCAAAGAATGCATTAATATTATGCTTTTTTTTCTTTTTAATACACCTATTAAATATGTGATACACACTCCAAGATACCGTCCCCTATGGTGAATGTTATTTTATTTAATGCAAACTGTTTATTATATATAATAATAGATTCTATGGTTTTGAATCTTTCCTTGCATTGGTTATATCAACCACTGTGGGTTATTTAATGCCGATAAGATTTTTATTGTTGCTAATATATTTTTTTTTCAAAAAATGTATTGCTAGTTTGTTTTGTTTTGTTTTACAGCATGTCGACCTCAATGGGTTATTTAATGCTGACAATTTTTATTGCTGGTAATATTTTTTTTCAAAAATGTATTGCTGGTAATAGTTTTTTCAAAAATGTATTGCTGGTAACAATGTATTGCTGGTAATATTTTTCTTCAAAAATTTATTGCTGGTAATAACATTTTATAAAGTATTTCTGGTATGAAAACCTATTTTTACACTTTCATAGTGTTTTGATCCCAGTTTGGGATTTAACTATTTGTCCATAGATAGGACTGTAATAGGTGCTACCACCCCGGGTTAGGATGGACCTGGGAACAGCAGCAATTACAAGGTGGTTCCACGCTAATCAAAACCGCCTGATCAGAGACCTTGCTGTTGGACGTAATTTATCGTATTATCCAGGACGCCAATATTTTGGTATTATCGCCTCATGTTGATAGTTGTACACCCCCGTGAAAAATAATTAAAACAAAAACGAATTATTCCGTTATTATTTACTTTTTTGTATTTCCCTTCTGAAAAATGACCCAGTGCACTTCCTATGTCCATTCCACGAAGTCATTCCTTGCAGATTGACCACTCATTCTCGATTGGATTTAAATCAGGATAGTTTCCGGGCCAGTCTATATTACTTTGATTTACTCACTGGTAAAGCTTGCCAGTGTGTTCGTGCAGCGTTACAAATTTTTGTACGCTTTCTTGGAGTAACGTACATCGCAGAAAATGGTCGTAGGACAACTAATCGACAGTAAAGACAACAGTGTTTGGGCGTGATAAAATCTGATGCAATATTTTTTTAAGTTCAAAGAAATTTCATCAAACACCCGGAAAATAGATCCATATTATTGCACACGACTGAAAATGACCTAATCTTCGGAAAACATCGATCACACCCTGTCATTCCAGTGGGTTTAAAATTGACCTTATCAAGAAAGAAAGAAACTAAAGTCGGTGTTGTTGTTCATGATGACGGTCGTCTTCGAGTATAGAATCCAGAGGTTAGCAGTGAATATTTCGAATACAGTATGAAAGCGTTGTTCAGGTTACCAGTGGATATTTTGGTAAAAGTAGCAGAGCGTAGTTCGTCCTTCTGTTTCTCTTCGCCTGACAAGCTGGAACTGGACATTCAGGTAGGGTAAACAAAAATGGCCACCTTTATACACGACGGATTGAATGTTCTACGTCTTCTGATTGGTTAACCTTTTATTGGTGGACTATAAAGTGAGTCAAGTCATGTGGGCTAACTCACTAGTAGATAAATATACACAACAACAGTTGTTTCAATTCATTTGTACAAGGGTGTATTTTATTTTTTTCGTTATGTACTTGTCTATATGCGCATGAATTGCATTTTCAACATGTGACGAGAGAGGTTGGTGCATGTGTAGCTGATTTAAGAATTTAATGCGCCTTTTTTATTCTTAATATTTGAGATGCAATATGCCAGAGGGCATGAGAATGCATAAACATTATTTTTACATAGACGAGATCGTTGGGACCCCGTGCTGTTGGTGATAATTAAATTAGATGTCTTGAACTTTTTATAGTAAGCGGCAAATATAATGTGTTTGTTAGGATCGTTAAGGGATGTGTGCCGGTGTATTAAATTTTTAATGGATTTTTCATCCTGTTTATAATTAGGGTGCATCTGGTGTACATATCGATCAGCACATCATGCACAAGCGAAATATAAGCATCAGCATGAGTTGAGTTTCTTTATTTTAACTTTTTTTTATCTATCTATCTATCTATCTATCTATCTATCTATCTGATGCTGAATGTTGTCAAAGCTTCTATCTATCTATCTATCTATCTGATGCTGAATATTGTCAAACCTTCTATCTATCTATCTATCTATCTATCTATCTATCTATCTATCTATCCAAGTCTAATCATATCTATCTATCCCAGTCTGATCATATCTATCTATCTGATGCTGAAAGTTGTCAAACCTTCTATCTATCTATCTATCTATCTATCTATCTATCTATCTATCTATCTATCTATCTATCTATCTATCCCAGTATTATAATATATATCTCATTAGCTTTCTATTTATTGGTATTCTTCTACAATGCCAGACATTATTTTTCGCATACCAACTTTTTATTCATATTATCTCTCTGTCTGTGTCTGTTTGATTTCTCTCTCTCTCTCTCTCTCTCTCTCTCTATATATATATATATATATATATATATATATATATATATATATATATAAGATTAAAGAATTTACATTTAATGCGACATTTTATTACTTTAAACGTTATTTATTTAATCTGAAACAGAGTATATTACGTCTCCCGGCTACCGGCGCCCTCAAGAAATTGTAAAAAATAAAATGTACCCTCTGGCAGGGTTTGTACATACACCCTCCTTTCTTACAGTAACCACATTTTGATCCGGTGAGCCTTGGACCGCTAGGCTACAGAGAGCATCACAGCCTAACAAGATTACTCTTTTAATGAACGAGGAAGCTTACATAATTTGCACCTGAATGAGGCAGTATGAACATTCCCTCGTTCAGATCTTTCTCGAAGTCCATATCTACTCAGTTTCACGCCAGAAGCAATATATATATATATATATATATATATATATATATATATATATATATATATATATATATCAACAATGACAACAAACCTGCAAGATCTAAATTACAGAGAACCAATATTATTTATGAATGCATATACTCATTTAAGGAACTGTGTTCCCGAAAGAGCAAAATTCATTATTGATTATATTGGACATACCACTAGATGCCTATCAAGAAGACTTACACTGCTCTGACCCTAGCACATTTCAAGTCACACACACACACACACACACACACACACACACACACACACACACACAAACAAAAAACTACTAAACTCCACCAGCAACATATTGTAGAAAGTCCAAGTATAATAGACTCATTCACTTTTAATAATAAAAAAGGAAAATCCAACACTCAGAATAAATTTGTACAGGGTCACATTGTGTTGACCGTGATTGAAAAATAAAAAATAACAACCAAAACGAAACATTTTCATAACTCTAGATACATACATAAAAACCCATACATTCAGCTAAAAATAAAATAAAAATCCTCCTTGATAATAGCTAAAAGAATAGCCGAAAGCGCTTGGATATGCAGAACATTTGAACAATTTTTGCACACTTTATATCCAGAAAAGTAAACACATACAAACACAAGAAAAATTACACACACACACACACACACACACACACACACACACACACACACACACACACACATATATATATATATATATATATATATATATATATATATATATATATATATATATATATATATATAAATATAATAAATATATATATATGTGTGTGTGTGTGAGAGTGATTTTTTGTGTGTAACACTTGAGGGGCAGCATGCAAAATTTTGACTTGAGACAGAAGTAATGAACCCATTCACGTCAACAAGCAAAAAGCTACCGCGCTGACAAAGTAAAAAGCAAACCCCTTCTTTCCCTCTCTATGCGAACAATGATCAAAGCGAAAGGACTGATGGAAATTATCCACGAAAAGAATCAGATACACAACTGGAAAGCTAAAAAGAAAGAAACAGAGAGAAAGAGAGGGAGAGAGAGAGAGAGAGGGGGCGGATATAGAAATGGATAGAGAGAGAGAGAGAGAGAGAGAAATAATCTACAAATACTATGGAAGCAGGGTCTGACGCAGAAGAAATAACAGGAGTAGATAGGTTCGCCTATCGTCCGGTTCAGAAACCTCCTCAGTCTTTTGAAGAGGAGTAGAAATTTAGCACTTTTTTTCTATTTGGGATTGGGTTTCAAGCTCCTTCTAAATGCCGTCCCATTCTCTTTCTCTCTTAGTAGCCTCTTGAGTCACAGTAGTGTTGGCGCCTTGATTGGGGTGAATTGATTAGAAAGAAAATGGATTGCTCGTACGAAAAGCTTCTGCTGCCTAAGGCGCCAGGAAAACGTGAAGGCTGTAAACAAACAAGCAAAGAAGCAGATCTATAAATAAATAAACTTGAGATGAAAAGGACAAGAAGGAAACGAGAGAAGTTAAGCTTTTCCCATCTGATCACATGGGAAATGACTTCATACCTTTTCGTCGTTTGGTTTAACAGTAAGAGGTGTTTGTGGAATTCAGATTAGCACCACTACATAGGCGAAATTTAATTATCTCCCCTTCTCTTTCTGCAGCGTGTATTTATGTACAACAACACGCACAATATACCGCCCTCGTGTAAAACTCTCCTTTTTACAGATGAGAGATGTCGTGCACTAGTGTTTTAGAGGCGGAATATTATATAACTATTTAATATCGGCCTAATCATATTGAGAGTGCGATGATATTTTTCAAATGATACTAAGGAATATTAACATGGGTATTAGGAGGCGTCATATTCATTCTCTCTGTCTTTTAATATATAATACAAGGAAGTGATAAATTTCCATGGTGTAAGTAATGATAATAGCCGTTTCTTTATAAGGAAATATTCTGGCATTCATTTACCAAGCAGCCAATACTGCTGTGGGCTGAAATTTATAAAATCTTTCTTTTAAGGCTTTTCAGAAAAA